ACATCCTCCAGCATCGTCTTTGTTATCAGCTAATGGAAAAAAGTTTAAGTATAAGGCTTGACACCAAAAAATAGACATATTTCACAGAAGCGATTTCATAGGAATTTGATCTAAAAGACTGACACGATGGGAAGAGCACTACTGCTGTGATGTTAATTCCCCTTCCCTGTGTCTAGCAGGGAATATTTCTTGGAGCCCACCTTTTCTGCCACTTCGCTGAAATGTACGCTTGCAAACCAGGGCTCTGGATTTGTTAACAAATCATATAAATAGGTACCTTTTTTAATCAGAAGTGGCGAGACTTAGGCCTTCATCAGCTAGCTCCTGAAAACAAAAAAAATAAAGAAAAGTTCGCTTGGTGGTGAACGTACTGAGTCTTTGTTTCTGTTCCATGTTTTGCAAAATCTTGCTGATTTATCAAATTATAAAATGGATCTTTTAGTCATTCATGACTTGATTTGAAAGTTCTGAAGAAAAACTTAATTCAGAAGCAGAACAGGTATCTTCTTGCAGGCATGTTTTACAGTGTAAAGGCTACGTGAATGGCTTTTAAATATTTTAAATACTGTGTCTGTTTCTGCATTATAGGATGACCTGCCAGCTCCTTCCAGAACCACACTTAAAGGAGACTCTAAATGAAAGCTTTGCAGTGAAGTTTTTATTTTGGACTCCGTATATAGATTTAGTAAACCATAATTTCAGAAGGTCTTAAATTACCAAAGTCTGAAGTCTAAACTTGTGGTGACTAGCGAGTTACTTAGTATCTGCCCTGAACAACATTTTGTAGTGGATCGGTGCTTTAAAAAGCAATTTGGTGTAACAGGTTAGCTTTGTACTGAAAGGATTTTGGGAATTGGAGCCTGAGCTTTGTGATAACTTAGCCTAGGTGTCCCTGCGTTTCCGTGCCTCGCAGCCCAAGTGCCTGTGCTGGTCTGCGGTGACTCAGAGGAACAGCACTGTCACATATGTGCACGGGGTGACACTGCTGCGTCCAACTAGTGATTTGTCTCTTATCGGCCTTTACGCGCCCAGTGCTGTGGCCTGTGGCTGGCAGTACTAGTTCTTGTCTTGGCAGTTTCAATATTCAGTTTTGAGGTTCTAAATCTTTGGTAGACTTAATGCTTTTCTTAAGACCCTTTGTTTGCACCGCGTACCCTGGATACAACATGAGGTTGCTGGATAATAATAAAACCTCAGATGTTTCTAGCAGCAATCTATATGAATCGCTGAAGATATTAATTTGAGGATGAATGATTTATACTTCTCAGAAATGTGACCTACGTATAAAATCATCTTGATTTCCTTCACTCTTCTCCCCGCTTCCCTTTTTAGCCCAAACTGATACCATTAAAACGGACTATTACTGAAAATGATCAGAACTGTGGTGGAAATTTGACTGTTACTGTACTTACTATGATGTTAACGTTATGTAGATGAAGAAGGATTGAAGTGGAAAGAGATGTGGCACTCTGTCCCCCTTATTCTAAAAGGGGTTGAAGACTAAGATGATAAGATAATGCTGCTTGCGCATGCATACTTGGTTTGTGTTCACAATCAATTATCTGAAATCAGGAATACTTAAATTACCAAAAAAAAAAAAAAAAGAAAAAGCCAAAAAGCCAAAACCTGCCAGAAGTGGATTTCCCTGGTAATGAATAGATCTTCTGGACTCAGCAGCCTACTCATTACACGTTAAATAATTTTTTTTACAATGATTTTTTCTAATTTATGTAGATGAATTAAAAAAAAAAAAGAAGCTTTTAAAGTCTGTTCTTCATTTCTTGAAAAGTGGACTATGTAACATGCTGTTCCAAGTACAGGTAGTGCCCATAGAATTTCCTTGGTTAACAAAAAACGCAAAACTGTTACTTCTGAGATAATTTTTCTCTGTAAATCCTGCTCAACAAATGTCTTGTCAGCTTGTATTACATCCTCTAGTGATATCAGATAAAAAAGGCTATATTTTAGATCCGGAGATATTTGGAGGCAGCTTTCTGCCTCAGAAACTAATCTGATTCTAAGAACGGGGATTTAGAGAAATAAATTGAAAGGAAGTTTCTCACCAAAATGATTTTTGTGTAATATCAATTAACTCTTAAAGACAATTGAAAGTAAACCAGAGTGCTTACCTCATAAAATTCCTTCTTACAGTTACATATTAACATTTCTGGCTTCTGCTGGGTTACACACCCTTTTCTGCATTGGTATTTCTTTTTTTATTTTTATTTTATTTATTTATTTATTTTAAGCTGAAGTAATCTGAATGAGTTTCTTGGGTTGCTGTGCGGTCATTTGGCTGTGGTGTTCTCCATGGCCTTGCGTGTATTCAGGGTGTGGAGGAGAACAAGTGACCAATTCCTTTTCTGACCTGGTACTACCTGTACGTATAGCTTGGCCGAGGGGCACCCTACTTTCTTTCCTCTTCCCAGGCTCCTCTCCTTGGAACGAGGTGTGAGAGAGCTTTTCAGTAACTTGAAAAATAAAAGGACTTTGTCACCGGTCACCTATCCAGAACAAAAAAGGGGCTGAAGGTGTTCTTGCCTGCCTGTAGACCAGGTTACAGGCCAGCGAGAGCGCTTCTTCGGGGCCCCCTTGCCGGCGGGTTGCTAAGGGCATGGTGTGGAGGGGTTCGGACAGTCCTTCAGCAGGGCTGTTTCGCCATCTTTGCCTTTTTTCTAAAACTTATCCGTCGCAATATTTGTAGATGGGCAGTTGCTGCTGCTGAACTCTTCTCCGCAGTAACAGTTTGAACGCAGGACCCAAAGGCAGGTGACTTCAGGTGACTCTCCTCCTTGCCCTGCCGCCCCTGCCCGGGCTAAGTCAGTGCGATAAACTGCTTTCTGAAGAGCGTTTATTTATTTATTTTAATAACTCTCCAAGTATCTTGCAGAGGTCTGCATCGAAAACCTCTTTGCTAATGGAAAACCGGAGGGAGGTTAAGCGCTGCAGCGGGGGCTGCGGCCTGCCCGCGTCGCAGGCGAAGGACCCCGCGCCCCTCTCGCTCGCCCGCCGTCACACAGGCGCACCCGCGCCCCCTCCTCCTCCTTCGCCTCCTCCCCGCCGGCGCC